AATAGTCTGCAAGAGACTGTTTGAAACCATTACTGAGTAAAGACTCAGTCAATTTTGCATACCACATTCGACTGCCTTGTTTCAGCCCATAAATAGACTTCTTGAGTCTACAAACCTTTCCTTTGTACTCAGGCAGATCCCTTAACCCAGGTGGCAATTCCATATAGACTACTTCATCAAGTTCACCATTTAGAAATGCATTGTTAACGTCCATTTGGTGTAAATGCCATTTATGAACAGAAGCAACAGCTAACAACATCTTAACTGAAGTGATCTTAGCCACTGGTGAGTAGGTATCACAATAGTCAATCCCATAAATTTGGGTATATCCTTTAGCAACTACCCTTGCCTTAAACCTTTCTAAGGCTCCATCTGACTTGTATTTTGTTTTGTACACCCATTTGGAGCCAATTGGCTTAACCCCCCCAGGCAAGTCAGTAATGTCCCATGTGTCATTGGCTTGAAGTGCACTGAACTCTTCATTCATGGCTGCATTCCATCGGGGATCTTTGGCAGCTTCAGCATAGCTCACTGGCTCCTCATTGGTAAGTAGAGTAAGAGCAAAATGTTGCCGAGGAGGAGTGAGATGGGACATACTGACTTGGACTGAACCAACATAAAAGTCATCATATTTCTTAGGAAAGACAGGTACCTTTGTGGATTTCCTAGGGGGAACTACAGGTTTAGGTTTGGCAGAGGAGGAAGGGATGGAAGAAGATGGAGAGTGATGAGGAAAGGGACTGTGTGAGGAAGGAGAGGGACTATGTGGGGAAGGATAAGGACTGGAGTAATGAGAAGGTTGATCATTGTCACTATCAGAGTCAGAAGGATAGTGATTGGCAGCAAGAGGAGAGGAAGAGCTAGGAATATCAGTAGGTGGAAATGGAAAAACATCATCAACCACCATAGGTGAAGGAGAAGGACCAGGAGGAGTAGGTGTAGAATTGGTTGGTTGGGACTGTTTGAATGGCAAAATGCCCTCATGAAAGATGACATCTCTACTGATGAAGACTTGGTTAGAGTCAATATCAAGGAGTTTGAAGCCTTTAATGCCAGTGGGAATGCCAAGGAAGATGCATTTCCTGGCACGAGGGGCAAACTTGGTCTTATGGCCTCCAACAGTGGTGGCATAAGCCAGGCAACCAAAGACACGCAGGCTCATGTAATCAGGGGGAACCTGATAAAGCATTTCATAGGGTGATTTGTGATTAAGAAGAGGTGTTGGGGTTCGGTTTATGAGATAGGCTACGTGTAAAATAAAATCTCCCCAAAAGGAAAGTGAGAGTCCTTACTGGAATTTGAGTGAACATGCCACGTTGAGCAAATGTTGATGTTTGCGTTCAAATCGGCCATTTTGTTGAGCTGTGTAAACACAGCTCATTTCATGAGTGATGCCATGACTGCGATAAAAATCAGCCATGTGGAATTCCTGACCCTGATAAGTTCGAATGGTTTTAATGGATTTGGAGAATTGGTTTTGAACCATTATGCAGAAAGATTGCAATAAAGGATTGGTTTCTGATTTGGATTTCATTAAAAACACCCAAACAGCTCGAGTGTGGTCATCAACAATGGTAAGGAAATAGGAATGATCTTCCCTGGAAATGGTATTCAAAGGACCCCATATATCAACATGGAGTAAAGAGAAAGCATCTGAACTAACAGAAGTGCTGGTGGGAAATGGGAGTCGTTTCTGTTTAGACAAGTGACAAGTCTCACAATGTTTGGAAGAAGGAAGAACAACATCATTACAAACATTTTTAACAAATTGCATCCTAGACAAAGAAGGATGGCCTAGTATGGCATGCCAAATATCAGAACTAGAAGACTTGGAACTGGAAACTCCTGCTGCAAAACTGGAAGATGGAACTGGAGAATGAAATTCTTGAAGCTTGGAATCAGAAAAGAGGTAGAGGCCTTTATCAACTTGGGCTAAACCAATCTTCCTCCGAGTAATAAGGTCCTGAATGGTACAAAAATTGGATTGGAAGACTAGTGAGACAGGGTGATTTTTGGTTAACTTACTTATAGAAACAAGATTGTAAGTAAAGGAAGGAATGAAGAGGACTTGGGTAAGAAACAATCCGCAAGGTAACCTGACTATGCCTATATGAGTGGCTTTCACATGGTGTCCATTAGGTAGTGACACATTAATACCTTCCAGAGGTTTATACTTGATGAAGGTAGACAGGTTACAGATTATGTGATCTGTAGCACCTGTGTCTAACACCCAGATTGTTTCATTCAAGGTTGGAGACAAAGAAGCAGTACCTAAGGTGCTGGCTGCAAAGTGAGGTGTTTGTGGTGGTACCCTGATCACTGCATTGACATTGGGTAGATGTGGTGAGCTGGGAGGTGAAGGAGATGGAGATGGAGACCCATTCAGAAGAGTCCTGAGTTTCTCAAATTGATCAGGTGTAAGCAGGGAACTCAAGGATGGTTCTGATCCTGTTGTCACAGAGCCAGTGTTACTGCTCCCATCAGAACCAGAAGCATCAACAGCACCAGCAAAGGGAGTACCATCTGTACCCTCCCTAGACTTCTTGTTCTTCAACCTATAACACTCCTGGATAGTATGGTTTTCCTTTTTGCAATAGCGACACCACTTCTTGCCTTCAGTGGTGTAATCACGAGGGTTTCGTGCATTGGCATTGGGGCGTCCAGAAGAAGGAGACCCTTGAGCAAGCAAGGCCAGAGAATTCACCCCAGGCTTAGAAGCAGAACCCTTGAGCTGTCGCTCAAGTTGAACCATCTGCTTGAAAACAGACTCAATGCTAGGTAAATGAGTACTCATAAGCACTTGGGTACGTGCAGATTGGTAAGAATCATTCAACCCCTACATGAATTTGATGATAAAATCTTCTTCCTGATATCTGGTCATAGTGTGGTATGGACTATTAGGGCAAGGGCAGCAGGTAAGTGGTCTATACATCTTGTATTCTTGCCACTTTGTGGTGAGAGCTGTGTAGTACTGTGAAACAGTTAAATCACCCTGAACAAGGTTAGAAACCTGCTCTTTCAGCTCATACACCCTAATATAGTCTTCTTGACTAAATCTGTCTCGCAGATTGTCCCAAACTTCTTTAGCAACACGAAATGGCACCACTCTATTCGCAATATCATCAGAAAGAGAGTTGTAGATCCAGCATCGCACCGTGCTGTCACAGCGATGCCAAGACTGCCAGATCGGGTCAGTGGGTTGAGGAACAGGAATCATACCATTGACAAACTGAAGTTTGTTTTTAGTGCTGAGGGCAAGCTCCATCATCTGGCTCCAGAGATTGTAGTTCTGGTCAGTCAGCTTCATGGAGATGATGGTGGTCAAGCCTCCATCGTGGGGAGGAAGGTAGTAAGGATTGAGGTATGGATCCTCATATCTGGGTGCTTGAGGCTGCACCTGAGGTAGGGTTTGAAGAGGTTGTGCTGGGATCGGCGGCGGAGTGGAAGAGGTCTGACCTGGGTTTCCAGATTCAGACGATTCAGAGCCATCAGAGACATGGCCATCAACGCCAGGAGGAGGAGTAGATATTGCAAAGGGAAATCGCTAAAATTGATCAAGAGTTTGGTTGAGATCTAAGGTATAGAGCAACCAGGCTCTGATACCATGAGAAGAAAATGAGTAGATAGGGTTTTGTGGAAGGATTCTCAACAGAGATCCTTTTGGTTTTGCATTTCATATATATACAGGTCTGTACAAAGGTAAAGTGGATTAGCAACGGCTAATCTACAGTAAAAACAAACTATCAAACTAACCAATGAAACCTGTACAACTGGCTAACTAACGACTAACAACGGTTTAAACAAAACTGCAGCGGCTTGGGATCCACTTCTCCTCACGCAGCGGAACGACAACGTTTCACTTCGATCCTTGTTTCTAGATAGGAGAAGAACGGTGTCGTTCCGACTTAGTCTTGTTCTGCACTTCGTGGGAAATCCAGCCTTCACTCTTACAGCAGCAGCTTGATGCAGGATGGTCAATGAAGAGTGAGTTGTTGCTGTTCGTGATCCAAACCATCACTCCAATAGACGACACCATTAGGCATCAAGACCCCAGTGGAAAAGGGTGAATTGACCACGAAATTTCTCAGAGTCCCAGCGTCGAGCACCTGGAGTGCAGGTGAACAGTTGGAGTAATGCACCACGCCAGGGGCCACGATTGGCCCACTCTTCGACTTGGGTCGCTTCTGAAACTGAGCCTGAGACTGAAGATGATGATGAGACTCGCTCCCTGCGCCGTGACCCATCACCGGGTGCAGACCCACCGCTCGGCGTCCTCCCATTTGGACGGCACCGCCCTCCCGCTGTAAAACGGGGTCAGTTCAGTAATCCCCCGCTGGCGTGCGGCCGCCGCCGAAGAGGAGGACTGATGCGGCACCCGCTCCGAGCACCACCCTTTGTTGCTGCTGTCCTAGTAAAAACTTCTCGCCGCCGCCTGGCCGGGGATGGGGAATGCGCCTAGGCTCTGGGAAGAAGCCAGATTCTTGGGCTTCCTCATGGTTTTCCCCTTTTGTTAAAAACTTGCTATCTGGGTTTGCTGGCTGTTATCAATCCATGGATTATGAGCTTGGATTGTGCTGCTTTTAGGAGGACTAGGAAGAGTGGTGAATATTACTAGATTTATGGGTTCAGTAGAGACAAGATCGGTGTTTTATATTGAGTGAGCTAGTAGCCATAGCTGCAGCAGCTGCTGGTCTCTCTGTGCTGTACAGTTGGTTGGTGTAGAAAAGAAATTAATTTTTTTATTTTTTATTTTTTTTATTTCAATGAATTCATTGTAATAATGAGGTGGAAAATATAAAAGTTTCTCTTTTTATTTTTAATAATTTTTTAATTGCCACGTCACATATTTAACGGTCAACTAGGAAAGTTGACTGCCACGTAAGTTAGAATTAACGGAAATGGACGGAGAGTGACCAAACTTGAACCATTTAACTAATTTGAGTGACCAAGATTGGATTTAAATATTTCCAGTGACCAAACATAAACGTTTTTTGTAATTTCATGCAATTAACCCAAAGAAAAATCATTGAACTTTTCTATAAAAAAAAAAGATTCATAAATAAATGAAACTCTTCAAGCTAATTGGTTTTGATTTGAATAATTAGAGTGTGGTTCACAATCTTCCTAAATATAGCCTGAATCCATCCGACGATAATAAGACTGTCACGAAACCAAAAAAGCAAACGTCTTAGCTAACAATGCCACCGCCCTAGCAATGAGATAACCGTCACTCTGCTCTAGAATTTCTGAATCACTACCGAACTCGCGATCCCAGCATCCTCTATCGTCTGATCTGGATCGGTGAGCTGTCTGGGAGGGAACCCCATCGTCTGAAGTTGGAAACCTTGAGCTTCACCGGGTCTCGACGCCATGATGAAAGAGCGCACGTCTCTTACGGTGTGGTGGAGGTTGAACCTGGAGACCATCCGGGTCCCATCTGCCAACCGGAGCTGAATCGAGGTTGTTGGTAATGAGGAATCCACCGTCAGACCGATCGACGGAGCTGGAGCAGACTTCAATGGTGGAGCTGCTGGTGACTCTGATGCTGAGGCTCCACCATCACCGGTAGTTCCCAGAGTTCTGCCCGTGCCTTGGAAGGCTGGTTTCTTCTTTGCTGGTTCCTGCAATGGAAGGGATAGGAGGGGGATTGATAAAGAGATGAATTGACAAATGGATAGATAAGAGGGTGAAGATGAGAACTCACTGCAAAGTTTTCATCCCGCCTCACAAGGTCGAGATGGACTTTAGTTCTCCTGTCTGCTGGGTCAAGCTCTCTCGGACATTCGGATCTCTGAACACTCTGCAATATGATATAGATAAGTAGGGCACCATGACGGCAATATCTTGAACAGATACAACTTCGTATCTTTCCATTGAAAGATTCCAACTTCACACACAAGGCAAGACACAAAGCTTCTCAAGTGGGCTATATGCCAGCAACAGAGAGCCATTTACTTTGCAATGATATTTGTCTCACTCAAAAGCTTTTTTACTTATCATGTTATTATGTGAAGTGTATTTGCAAAAACATTCACTTTAGCATTTGTATAGATAATTGCATCAGAAAAGTGAAGGAACCAGTTCGACATCAATTTTGCTTGTGTGTATAATTTCTACGCTTCATGCATTTGAGACATAAGCAGATTCCCCCCCCCCCCCCCCCCCCCCCACCCCCCCCCCCCCCCCCCCCCCCCCCCCCCCCCCCCCCCCCCCCCCCCCCCCCCCCCCCCCCCCCCCCCCCCCCAAGCAAACGACCTGTGAAGCAATTGCAGACTTGGGCAAAGCTAAACAGTGAGATCAAGCACTATAGAGTACTCACAATACGCAACCTCAGCAGAATGTGGCAAGTACATATAGTCGTTATAAGCATTTACCTCGAGGAAGTCGGCATTAGCAGGATCATTCAACCTCCTCAAAGGTCCATCATTGACAGTGAAGCCATTCCTCCAGAGAGTGATGGTATGATTGACAGACTCAGGAGGCTGTGCAGAAGTAGGAACTGTGTCTCCAGTGAGTAGTCTCCCAGTTCCAGTAAAGCTTCTCGAAGCCGAAGAAGACCGAGCAGAAGAACCCTCAGGCCTTTGAACAGCTCCTGAGTTTCTAGCTTGATCGAAAATCGAATCTGCATCATATCGCTTTGTAGGATCTTGGACCAGCATGCCACTGCACCAAGTAATGTCAATGAAGCAAACATCATCAGCCACAAAATAATCATTCATCGGTACTGGAATCAAACAAACACACAATTCATGGCTACAAGTTCAAGAATTGCTCAATAAATGGCTGAAATCCACAAAATTGTCTCCCTAATATCGACATTGAACCAAAATTCAAGTTTTATGACGCTAAGCTAGGGCACTAATTATATTTCTATTGTTTTTACCTCTTCTCGCCCCCGGTGTAATACTCCTGCGGCTCGTCGTCGTCATCATCGCTATCAGAACCACCAGGGATCCGATTGAGATCAGCCAAAGTCCTAATTCCACCACGATTCCCACTCCCACTAGCACCAGCCGTACCAGTCTTCTTACTCTTCTTCTCCCCTCTCGATCTCAGCTGGTAAGGCAACCTAGACATAGTCGCGGGAGCAGGAGACGAGGAGCGGGATCGTGACCTGGACCTAGCAGGAGACTGCGAGGGGGAGTAGTTAGGAGACATCGATTCGTCCGGCGAATCCGTCGGAGAAGGAGTGCCACCGCCACCAGTCGGAGGAACAGCACGAGCACTAGCAGCAGCAGCAGAAGAAGCGGCGACGGCGACAGCGGCGTTATCGTTGTCGAGGAAGGTGGAGACGGCGGCGTCGAGATCCCATTGGTGGCTCTCGAGGAAGAAAGCGGCTTCCTGCCTGGTGGAGGAGGTGATCTCGCAGAAGGAATCGACGAGGGCGGAATTGGCGGTGTCGTTGAGATCGAGATTCCCGCCGGCGGCTTCCATGTTCAGGTTTTGGGGGGGTCGCCGGGGCGCTGGCCGTACGATTGGTTTGAGGCGGCGGCGGGGTTACGGGGAAGATTTTTTTCGGGGAATTGGAAGAAGGAAGGAAGGGAGGAAGGGAGGATTCAGATTTTTTTGTTGGGTTCGCAGTGATTCGATTCTTCGAACCCACCGCATTATATTCTTTCCGTAACGTTTTCCTTTCTCTCTTGGAACAAGGAAGCGTTTGGTTAAATTGCATCAGTAGTCACTAGAGTTTAGGGGATTGGTCTAATTAGCCACTAAAGTGTTGTTATACCAATTAAATCCCTATACATTATGAAATCTGGGGGACTAATAAGTGTATTATCATTTGATGAATTGAATCAATTGATGTATTAAGTAAATATCTTGTTTGGTGGTTTAGATTGTATTTTTATTCCAAAGGTAAAAAAGTTAGTATTGAGTGATTGTGAAGAATCTCAACAAAAAGTAGAAATTGTGATTGTGGTGGGGCCTCCAAAAAGTAAATACATGTATTCTAGTTCTATATAAATAAAAAAACGACTTAATCTCACAAATACACGAATTAGATCAATACATCATTTGAAATCACAACTTCCAAACGAACCTAAGATACCATTACCCAAATAATTTCAATTTTTTTTATTATTATAAAAGAAGTAAAAGAGTATGCATGCATTAAGGAGATTTTTTCCATAAATAACATTTTAAACCTTTATTTTTACAAAAATAGCACCTAATCCCAAAAATTCCAAAAATAACCCATTTCTTAAAAATCATTGGGTGAGGGCGCGGTTTTCAACAAAAACCGCTTGGATCGGGGGCGGTTTTGAAGACCCTTGGGTTAGGGGCCGTTTGGTCCAAAATTGCTGCCCACCTAGTGGTTTGGTGCATATAATTATTTTTTCCCGATAAATCCTAACCAAGGTGGAAACTTCAGACGAACGTATCTTTGTGTTCGGGTATCCTATCGTAGCGAGTTTTTTTTATTCCGCATAAATTTCGAGATATTGCAAGCCGCAAGCAGTCATAGGTGGTTTGGTCCCGCCTTCATCCCGAGAAAATATCGTTTGCTATCCCGAAAGAGTTTTTTTCCGATTTCGTCAAACTTTAGATGACCATAACTTTATACTCCAAAATACGAATGTCATAATTTTTTTTTCATTTTGCATAACTTTTTAAATAATTCAACTTTTACTAGGAATGAATTTTCAAAACAAGAATTATTTTTGGATATATAGGATTTTGGGAATAACTCAGTTGCGGACCTAGGGGTCTTTGGGGGTGTCCCGGGACACCCCTAAATTTTGGAAAATCGATTATCCAACTCCCGGTGTTAATTTACGTATGGAAAAAAATTATAATTAATAATAGTCCGGGACACCTTGGAATTGAGAAAACAATTATCCTACTCCCGTTTGTAGTTTGCGCATTGGAATATAAGTGGTATTTTGGGTAATTCAAACGCGGGACACTACTATTATTAATAAATGGGTTAATACCTTATTTTGGTCTAAATTATGACCATATAATCAACTTTGGCCCGTGGTTTCAGAAATTAACATCATGACCTCAACTATTTAGCATATAGACTCAATTAGCCCGACACATGGTTTGACCGTCAATTTGGACGGTCAACACGCCATGTCATTGCCTAGTCAGCCTAAAAATCATTAAAATTATCAAATTCAAATTATTTTCCTAATTATTATTATTTATCATTTTCAAATTAACCAGAAAATAAAATTTAATTTTTTTTTATGTTTTATCTTTTGGGACATTTGAAATGATAAATTTTAAAAATATAATATAAATCTTGTTTTTTTTTGGTAATTTAAATAATAATAATTTGATAATTTTTGGTTAATTTATAAAATTATCATTTTCGAAATATAAAAAAAATATTTAAAAAATTATTTTATGTTTTTATAATTTATTTTTGGTTAATTTGATAATGATAAATGATAAAAGTTAGGAAAATAATTTGAATTGGAAAAAATTATTTTTTAGTTTATGTTTTTTTATATTTTCTAGATTTATAAAATTTAATGTGACAATTTTTGGTTAATTTATAAAATTTATCATTTTCAAATTTCCCAAAAGATTAAACGTAAATTTTATTTTCTATTTTTTAATTTTATTTTATGGTTAATTTGAAAATGATAAATAATAGAAATTAGGAAAATAATTTGAATTGAAATTTTTAATAATTTTTAGGCTGACGAGGCAATGACATGAAATGTTGACTAACAGTTAACGGTGTTGAACATCCAAATTGACGGTCAAACCATGTGTTGGGCCAATTGAGTGTATATGTTACATAGTTGAGGCCATGATGTTAATTTCTGAAACCACATGCAAAAGTTGATTATATGATCATAGTTCATGCCAAAATAAGGTATGAACCCTTAATAAATATAATTTTTATTAGACTACAACTTTTTTATTGTTCTATTCTAAATACTGTGTAATAGCAAAATCCTATTCTCTATCTTTAATTATTTTCAAAATCTAACAATTAATCTGCTACCCTGAATTTGTATTGATTTTATGGTTGTACGACAAGTGTTAAAAGTGTCTTTTTAGTTTTGATTTACATCAAGAACAAATTTAGAAGTTCCTTAAAAACAAATTTAGAAGTCGAATATGCGTTAGTTCGTGAATGATTGTCTAGTAGGATATACCGAGACAAATTTGTTGAGCAGCATAGACACCAAGTGTATTTCATAATTTTTCAGAATATGAAAAATACAGCATGAATTTTTTTTATAACTTGTACGAGTTTGGTATTTTCTTATTTAAGAAATAATTATTATTTTTATTTACTTTATTTTTTGAAAGAGGATACCCTTACCTTCCCTTTTCACATATCCACGTACATTCCGAAATTATGTCTATGATTTTAGTCCTTACAAAGTTAAGCGAAATTAAAAAAAAAATCACGACATTCGGATTTTGAAGCACAAAGTTATTGTCGTCCTAAGTTTGATGAAATAAGAAAAAGCTTGTTCGGGGTATCAAACGACATTTTTTCGAGATGAAGGTGGGACCAAACCTCCGAAGGTTGTGTGCGGCTTGCAAGATCTCAAAAATTTATGCAGAATCAACAAAAATTTCGCTACGATCAGATACCCGAACACAAAGATACGTTTGTTTGAAGTTTTCACCTAGGTTAGGATTTATCCGAAAAAAATTATATGGATCAAACCGTTGGGTGGGGCAGCGGTTGGACCAAACCGCCCCTGACCCAAGCGGTCTCCAAAATCGCCCTAGACCCAAGCGGTTTTCGTTGAAAACCGCGCACCCACCCAACGGTTTTCGTCTAAACCGCGGGGTGGGGTGGCGGTTTTTGAGAAATGGTGCTATTTTTAGAATTTTTTAGGAATGGATGCTATTTTTGTAATTTGTTTTAAATAGTGTTATTTCTCGAAAAAATCCGACATTAGGCTGGGACAACACCAAATATCGCTATTGCAAGCAGTACAGTAAAAATATCGATTATAGTCTTAAAATCTTACGATTTTATGATCTAATATATGAGCTTCCATCCGTATTTTACCATTTAAATTGCAAATACAAATCCCATTAAATCCCATAAAATCCTTATTAAAATACATGAAGTTTTTAGAATCGGGTAAATGCCACATTTTGTCACTGAGATTACTAAATCATGTCATGTTTAGTCACTAGAAAAAATTAATATTAATTTTGGTCACTCGAATTACTGAAACATGTCACATTTAGTCACTCTCCCGTTTGTTTCCGCCCAACTTCATTAACGGAGTTGAACGGAGGCTAATGAAGAGTGACTAAATGTGACATGTTTTAACAATTCGAGTGACATTCATAAAAAAAAAAAAAGTAATTCGAGTGATCGGAGTTGGACGGAGGCCAACGAGAGAATAATTATATTTGTGATAATTGGATTTGTTGAAATTAAATTATATTATGAATTTTAAGAAGATAAATGGTGAATTTATGACTTTAGTAAGAATATGAGAAGTTAACTCTGGTCTGGATAATTAAAAGAAAGGATTTATGAACTTTGTTGGATTTTTGGATGAACGAAACAGGTTTCTACGTGGTTTTGTTATTAAAGAGAATGTATTATGATTTTGAGAATAATGGTGATTACGAAATTTATTTAAACTAGAGTATGAGGTCAAAATGATTGCCCTGAGTTATGTTATTTTGGATTGAATTTGATTTATATATTCAGAACAATTTTTAGTAATGGTTAATTGAGTATTTACTATTTAGCTTAAATACGAAAGATGGTCTTATTAATGGATTTTGATTTAGATTTGTATTTTAAGAAATGATCACTGAGAGATGTGTAATTAATGGAGATCTTTTAATCATCATGAGACTATATATGGGTATGGTCTTAGAATGGTTTTAAGTTATTAATAGAAATTTATGAAGATGTGGTTTTGATCATAAAATATTTAATTGATATTTTGATATAATTAATTGATGGACGATATGGATAAACCGATGTATTTAGATTATATGGTTCGTATATTAAATGATTTGATGATGAATGGAATATAGATTGATGATCAATATGTATGATTATGATATGATGATATGGATCGATTGACAGTGATATGATTGATGTGTATGAGTATGACGTGATTAGAATATTGGTTTGTATAAATATGAATGTTACTAAGATGTTTTTGACAATGTTGATAGGATGAATGCTTTGATTAATGATGATGTGGATGAGATATTATCATGATCAATTTGTATTACTATTAATGTGGATGAAATGTTGACGTGATAAATGATTACGATGAGTGAGTGAGTGAGTGAGACATTGATAAATTGAGTACCTGGTAGTTATGTCAAGATTGATTGAAGAGGATGGATTATTATATTATTGAGATGATATGATGATTATATTAAGATCATGCAATGCATGAAATTATACATAGATGATGTGAGATACACATGGACTGAGAATATCAATGGGACCTGTTGATTTCTTGGATCGATTGAGATATGATGGAAGAGAGAAATTGATATTGTTTGATCATGTAAAAGCACATAGACATAGAAGGGCCTATGTCTACCCTTATGAGATTGATTGGGCTGTGGTCATAATGAAGAGATTTATGATAATCCTAGATTTG